ATTATTAAAAATATAATATAAATATAATTAATTTATTTAATTCTTATACTCTATGTGTATAATTATATTTTTAAATTTATTTACTTTTAATTTTAGATTAAAAAATAATAATTTTTTAATGAATATATTAAAATGAAGTATGTATTAATTACTGTCCAATTAAAAAATATTATTAATTAACATCAAGCACCTACAAAATCATTAAGCCTATTTTTCTTTTCTTTTTTTTTTTTTTTTTTGTGTGTGTCTGAATTGACACTAAAATTAATTAGTTTGGAGTCCTAATAGTTCTCTGTATTGAAAGTTACAAAAAGATGTATACGTTTGTAAGGTGAGATGGTCCAAGACCAACACATGAGAGCCAAGATGAGGTGATGCTTCCTCTACTTGATTCCTTTATCTACAGGCCTGAAATGTACTAATTTAGTGCCTCCTCATAGGTGGACAAGTCCTCAACAATCAATTTATCTGGTTGGTATTATCAAAAAAAAAAAAAAATAAAGGCTGGTTGGTTTTGCAATGTTTTTATTTGTTATCTATTTGCCCATGAGATGAGATGGGAACTGGGTTGGGACTTGTGAGTGGTTGTGGATCTGCCATTCCTTATGGTACAAATACATTAAGTTTTTAGTGCCCACATACTACATTTATAATCTTGAAATTCATAATAGGAAGGAGGTCCATAAAATACTAGTATGATTCATAAATAAAATTGTTTTTAATCTTATTTTTTAATTTTCATTTTTTTATGAACCTTAATATTTAATTGTTGGGAGTTTGAGACATGAATTCTCTTATTTTATTGCACATGACTTGCATTTAAGCAAATAACTAGGACCATATAAATGAATTCATTTACTATGATAATTTTTTTTTCTAGTTTTATGGATCAGTTCGAGTGTATTATACTAAATTCACTTATATCATGTACATGCTATTTATGATAGAACTTAAAGAACTTAATAAAATTAATGTAGACAAATTGTAAAACCAAAAAATAGTTGAAAAGAGACTTAAATTTATGCCATTTTAGGTATTTATCAGATTCAGAGGTGAAAAAGTAAAAGGCCAAAAAAAGATTGGATCTACAAGTACTCATATATAAGTGGTGGGTATTATAATTTAATTCCAAGAGCATTTGCATCTCCATAAAATTTAGCTCTGGACCCATTTGAGAAAAACAAAAAAAGCTACCCCAAAAGATCAAGTGGCCAAAATTGAAATAATCTGCAGCCAATGTTTTTTCTTTTTAACTTTAGCATCCAACAAAAGTAAGTGGGCAAATAGATCCCATTTTAGATGTTGACAATAGCAGAATACGAAGAAACTGAAATCTTACCATTCAGCCTAAGAGAAAAAGAATCCAGAAACTTGTGAAAGGGAATTTCTACATAAAAATTTTAAAATAATTTTCTTACCACTAAGCAATTTGAGTTTTCCAATTTATTTCTAAATTATCAAAAAAAAAAAAAAAAAAAGAAAGATTCCTATTACAACCTAGTGAGATTTTATTTAAGAAAGTGTTTCAACAAATAAGATTATTTTTGTTACTAACCTCCCGGTATTTAGTAACCACATTGGATCTCGATTAATCCAAAATCGAGTCGCATTAGACCCCATTAGGAGAGAAACTTTCTTAGCGTCTGTTTTTTCATTTATAAGACTCGAACTCAATACCTTACTTAAAAAGAACGAATTCTTTCCACTCGAACTAACAGGTCGTTGGTTCAACAAATAAGATTATGAATATTGATATTACTAGTGAAAGATTTTAGAAAAGAGAGGATGATTTTGTATTGTATAGCAATATCTCATAAAGATTAAAGGTGAACTATCAAGATTCTTATGGCTGATCTTGATCAAGATTATTATTTTTTACAATACTATAAAATTAAAAAAGTAGCAACTCCAAAAAATTAGGTAAAAAATTAAAAAAAAAAAACTATATCATTTAAATAAATTCTTTACAAATAACTAAAATAAATCTTCTTACAGTAAAAATGAGATTGTTTGATCTTTTTCATGGGTTTTTTTTTATTAAAATAATATAATTTTAAAATATTACTTTACTTAATTTTAAAGGTCAGATTAATAAATATTAATGTGATAAACAACTCCACCAAATATCAAATTATTGAAGCATTAGTTTGGAGCCCCCCATAATTTTTTTTTTTAATATTTTTGAATTAAATTATGGAGTGCAAAATGGCCAGGTTCATTTGCTGAAAAATCCATGGACCACCTGGTGGCTGGTGATGAGACACAGAGGCCCTCTTCCACTGCAAATGCTCTTGAACAGTTTCTCCATAAAAAACCCAAATTACCAAAACATAGACTTTTGTGTATTAATAAATAGAAAGATAAATAAAGGGGAAACTTTTTACAAACATTTACTGTAAAAAAATAATTAAGTTTGAGATCTTACAAGTAAAAGAGCATTTCGAAAAAGGTGAAACTTTTTGAAGAAAGTTTAATCCCATAATTAACGACTTTGGTGATTCTTATAAATTAATGCAGAAACATTTTTTTCTCTGTTTTGGAAATTATGACTGATTAATTTATACAGTGTGGCATCTTATTCAAAGAATTTTTTAATTTGAACATTTAAAGTAAAAATTAAATATATAATTATTATATTTTTTTATTATTAATTTATATTAAAAAATAAGTTAAAATTTAATAATTATTTAATTAAATAATTTTATATAACAGTAACATTAATATTACAAATTAAATTTATTTTTATAATTTTTTTTATATAAATTAATAATAAATAAATAAAATTAATATACTTTTAATATGCATCCTAAAAAATACAAATTAAAAGACTCTTTATTCAACCAGGGATGCAAGTACTAATAATTTCAGAGCAGAACTCATCTCACGAAGGGAAGAAAACTTACCCCTACCCAAGGTAAAAAGCCTTGGAGTTAATACCCGTTAACTACAAAACTTAATTACTGAATTAAAGACAACAGTTTGAATTATTACAAAGGTTTTTCTTTTGTACTAAAAAAAATTAATTTTTAATAATTTATTAACAATTAAATTAAATTTGTTATTGTGATATTAAATATTAAAATTAATATTAATTTTTATATTTTATTATAAATTTATAATAAAAAAATATATTTATTATATTCTCTATTTTTTTCTTCTTTTTTGAAATTTTTTGAAATGTGAACGAGACTCAAAATCTTAGTTAATTAATTTAAACATCTTAAAATTTAGAAACAAACCACTTCAACTCAAACATTCGACTCATTTTCTTTCTTCTCTTTTGATTTTAAAATTAGACAATAAAAAAATACCCTTTTCCTATATTATAACTTATCTTATTTAAACGTCTCAAAACCATTTATTTTTATTAAAAATATTATAATTTAATTATTCAAATAGTTAACGTATTTATTATATTCTTAAACTTTACTTGCACAGAATGAAAAGACCTCTCCTCCCAACAGCTGAATTTTAACTCCTCGAGCTGATTTTGGGTTAAATCAAGATATCAAAACTCTATGACGTCAAGAAACTTCCAGTACCTCAACCCTCTACCACCTGCAATAATTGAATTCCCTCTGCACATCTAATTTCACAATTTCATCAGTAAAAAGGTTCAATCTTTCTTTTTATTATTGGCACCAAAAGCTATATAAATAAATACACTGAGCCTTTCTGATCCACCCAGGAAAAATATAAGAGATCCCCAATAAAAAGAGAAAAAAAAAATATTCATTACCTAAAAAATTAGGAAAAGAAGGACTAAAATGAAAACTTAAAATTAAAAGGGGAAAGAAAAGGAGATACAAAGGAGTGGTGGGTTTCAACATTAATTTTCACTTTCAATCAACAAGGAACCCAGCTCAGAAAAGCATTTTGTGACAGCAACCCAAATAAGAGCTCTTGGTGAGGTTCAAAAACTCAGTGTGTTAACTCAGTGAGTCATCACAGTTTTGTTAGCGAGTTTCCAGGCCGAGGTAGCGATGAGCGGCCGAGTGTGCCAACCCAGCATTAGGCACCCGTTGTTTTCCTCTACCCTGTACCCATCTCCGCCGGCGAACAGGGCCAGCAGCGTGCTGGCTTGTTTGAACGCGTTTGACCCAAGATGAGCCGGCACGAACCCAGAAGATCCCAACCGAGTTCGCCAGTGAGTCAGCGTTTCATGGCGCTCGACTCGGTCGACTCCCTCGCACGCCACCACATTGTAAATCTGCTTACCCAAATACATCTCCGACATTAGTTTGTCCTGCCCATTCACCGATCCCTCCAGCGAGTCGAAAAGAGTAGAGTAATAATGTAAGGACTCGGTGAACCGGTCCAAGAAGAGTGGCCCGTTGTGATTCGCCTCTTGCTCGACGACGGTGACGATTTCCGGGTTCATCTGCTTCACCACCGACAAAGCCTTTTCAATGGCGCCGGGACGAGCTAACAATTTATGCAGCTCAAAAACTGAGTTCACGGCCACCGACTCAACCTCACTAGGTCTTAAGTTAAGCATTGACGCGTCCAAATCGGCCAAACTTCTCGCCAAACCGCTATACTCAAACTCGACGTGGATCGTCTTCGCCAACTGAGCCAACTTCCACCCGACTTCCTGCAACTGGTCCGAGTTGTCTGGAGCCGGAGGGCCGATCCCGGTCAACCGAAAAGTGGGTGGGCCACCAGGCCTTAACGCTAGAGCTTGCATCAACGCCGGCCATTGCATTCCTTGGTTCATAGAGAAATCAATTACGTGCACACGCTTCTTACCTTCAAAAGCTTCGAGAATTGCTTGATTGGCTGTGAAGTGAGCGAATTTGAGATAGGGGCATGTCTCGTAGAAGTGCATCTGGAGAAAATCTGAGAGAGAATGGTCCAGTGGGTATTCTGGGCAACATCCGTAAATTCTCGAAGCCAAGGCCCTCGCGAAGTGTGTTGCTACCTTACCCATAGCTCCGGCTTGAGAAATCGCGAGGTAGCTGATTTGATTTACGAGGGCTCGCGCTAGGGTGAGGTTGTTTTCTTGCACGGCTTCCGCACAGGCCAACAGAGCGTGGACGAGTCGGATCCCGTTTTCTTGTGAGTCAACCAGGACTACAGGACGAGTTGGGTCAGGGGGAATCCCGAAAGGTGCCATGGAGGTGGTGGGGTAAGTCTCTGAGTTGGATCCAGAACTGGGTTTCAAACGCTTGTTACTGCTACTTTCGTTATGATTCGAGGAAGACGATGAATCAAGAGTCTGGGTATTTGAATACACTGCCTTACCGGGAATTGCTTTCAGTTCGTAATCCGGATACGAAGATTCGTCAAAGAATGGAGTATTCAGCTGCTGTTTCTGATTGTCGTTGAAATCTACAGATGTAAGCGTTGAAAAAGAACTACCCATCCCTGACGACAGCGGCGGCGGTGGTGCCGCCAAAACCGAATCAAAACTCGTCGGAGGATTGAACTCCGACAACATACTCTCAACCCACGTAGACAGATCCGACGGGTTATAATGAACAGTGTCGGAAGCAAGATGCGACATCCCATCAACCTGAACATTACCCATGACTTCCTCCAACTGTTCCAGCTTCTGCGCGACTTGGGCCATATCGGAAGTCCTGACCTTGTACCCAAGAACAGCCAACAGCTCATCCATCCCACCATCTTGCTCCTCCAACTTGACTTTCCCGGAGGTGGTTGTATCCGGGTTAGGATTGAGGTGGTGGTGGTCTCTCTTCATGACTGATTTCCGATTTGGGTTTGTCTCTCAAAGGTTGATTTTCAAAATTGAGTGAAGAATCTGAGCATTGGGGATTGGGAGGGTGGGGTTTTTTTGCTTGGATTTTCACTCCTACTCCTACTTCAAGATCAGGGAAAGAAGGAAAGAGGAAGTTGTAAAATTCTTTTTTTTCTTTTTTTTTTTGGGGTTTTTTCGAAAAAGAAAAAAATAAAAATCGGGGGAGATGGGGCTCGAGCTCCAATGAACGTTCAGAGGTTGTGGCTAGCAACAACAGCTACAACTCAAATAGATAAGATGAAAATTTACATTTTTCATGGTTTTTTCTTTTTTTAAAAAAATTTCAGTACTTCCCTGTATAAAAAAAAAAAAAAAAAGAAGAAGAATGGGTCGGGTCAAGCTCGGTTGTGCAGCATATTTGCCAGAAGTTGATTTTTGTGGGACAACTGTGTGAAAGTGCTCAAATGACGTGATATTTTTTTTTAACATTTAATAATTATTTACGAATCAATTGAGCGAATAAAAAAATTTTAAAAATTAAAATATTAACTTATATAATGTGAATAATTTTAATTCAAAATTTAATATCACTTAATCGAGGTAAACTGTTTGAATAACATGACATTATTATCTTAAATTTATAATATTATTACTTGAGTATTAGTAATATAATTAATTTAGTTATGATTTATTTTAATATAAATATAAAATTTTAAATTTATATTATGTAATATATAAATTGAATGAGTTAAAAATGAGATAAAATTATTTTTATAAATTTAATAAA